TACAGAGAGATCCAAATTCAATTAAATGAAGGAGATTGAAAACCTAGGTGTAGGGTCCTTGTGTTGAAAAAAAATTGGGGTGGGGGAGTATATTTTAGGGAGAAATCCGCTGTTGAATATGCGAGTCTAGCTGAGCAGCCAGTGAGACAGCAGCCAGCTAGCAAGCAAGCGGGAGCGGAGCGCTAGTCAGATAGCTTAACTGCTGCGTAGGCTACACCAGGCAGTGAAGGCCTGACATAGCTTGATAAATGGGCACTGCTGTATTGTCCCTTACAGCTTATTCAACCATGGGCAGAATGTAAATTGGACCAGTCTATTTGTGAAAGGATAGGGAGAGGAGCAACCGGGCTTCAATTAGGAGGCTTTTCCCTTGAACCCACTAAGTGGAACATGTTGTAAAAGCAACTGAAGAGTGGGGACAGGCAAGGGGAATCTTTGAGCCCGAGAAAAACCAAACTTGTGCTAGTTGAGCGAGCGGAGGCCTGACTAAGGGGGTTTTCGCATTGGTATATCCTGATTCTGTTCTCAACCGGGGATATTTTTAGTGGCTTTAGCTGAACTGTGAGAGACAGCCTGACTGCCTTGCCTGTTCATCTGAGGGCTGATTGCTCAGAGATTCACCCAAGTAAGTAGTAGCAGTAGATATTGGAAACAAAGGGAATTAATTCTTTTGTGTCGAGACTCTGGCCTATTCAACCAGGAAGGATAATTAAGGTAGAGCGTATAGCCCAGCCTGTAGATATATTTAGCACAGCCAGGTCTGAGCTGGTGGAAGCGAACTAGTTCATTTAACCTTCTCATTTAACTACTTTTCTCAACTGTTTATAGTGATCTATGACAAAATTATGTTTGAGTAATAAGTGTGTTTACATTGAAAGAATTTATCAAGGTGTGCACACAAGGTAATGTGTGTGTTATCTAGGAAGACCGATGACCTTTGCTTTGTTTGAACATTGAGCGGTCAGGCAAAACCTTTGTTTGCTGGTAGGAAGGAAAAAAGATCCGAGGGAAATAGACAGGGGACGGACAAATGAAGGCTGTACTAGGTACGCTAGTGTTGTAATAGGTGAGCATTGTATGGCAAGGCCTCCGTTACGTGAGTATCCTGCTTATGTGGAAACAGGGCCATCCAGCACATGGAGTGGTGTGTGAATATGGCTGCCTTCCCTCAGCTTGCTAGGCTGTGTTGTACTTGCAGTCCTCCCGTTTACAAGCTCTCTGTTCACGGACGAATAAATGGAATTTTGTTTGGGGGAGTTTGAGTCTGGGTTGTATTTGTAGTTTGAATTAAGGATTTTGGGTGTAACAGTTTGATATTTTTTTTAAATTGATTGTTGGAAACTTTGTTTTGGTTGGCCTGATTTTTATAGCTTGGTGTAACATCTGTTTCAAAAACTTGACTGAAACTTGTTAACCTGTTGGTTTTTGCTTGCTCTTTTAGACACAAATTAAATTTTTGTGGGGGAGTATTAGGAAATGTATATGAAAGTGTTCTGAAATATAGTTGTGACACGCAGAAAGCTGTTACTACAAACTAATAACTTTGTATATGTCATTGAATGTTTGTGTTGGTATTTTTTTTTACAAAATGGGATGATATCAATAACATGTTGTGAATTATTTACTTATATCTGAATGTAAATCCTTTTAAAGCATTTACTTACATATCGCCTACATTAATATAGTTGAGTTTGAGAATCATTTTGAAACCAAAATATTAGTAACAATATTGTATACTTAATTTAATCCTTCACATCTGAGGTGTTGGATTATTTGAGGGAAGAGTGACATGCTAATCTATAATTGACAATTTAGAATGTGTGAAATGCAAGTGCATTAATTAATATTGATATTTCAAGTGCCACTTGCGAAGGTTACTTGATCAACTAGTGTTAGCATACATTACATTGTGTATGTAAAAGTTATCTTTCGAACTCTCCATATCACATTGATTTCAGTGATAAATGTGGCTCCGTTTATGATTAACAGGACAATGCATTGCTTGAAATATATTTTATTTTCTCAACAATTATGTCTCCTTTGTGGTTGTCGTTAGAGTTGTAAAGGTGGCTTTGTTACTTTTATACGAGGTTTTTGGAAATACTTGTTGAACATTTTGTCCATAGTTTTGTCCTTAATATCAAGCTCCTTTTACCCATAGCCTAATAATGTGAATTTGAATATTGCAGAAAGGCATGGATACAGTTATTAGGAATGTTTAAAAAATAATATAAACAAATTTCAATATAGGTTTATTTGTTAATGCCTGTAACTTTAAGTAAACTTTAACTTGTAAAATAAGTAGATTTAAGTAGAAATTTGAAAGGTCCTTAGAAAAATATCCTCTGATGAACATGTCTCGGCCATCATGTCGGTTCCCACGCCCTAGTCCCCACACTTGTGAGTTGTCGCCTTCCTCAACAACACTCTAGTGTTAAAAACCAGCTATGTCATGACTAGTTGTATCAACATTGATTATGATAGTATTTCCTGAAATATCCTTATGTTATGGTATCTACTGGCATGTAATTATCGTGAACAATTTATTCTGTCTAGTTATTCACCAGGGATGCATTTTGTAACTGAGATGCTCGTTAGGCAAAATCAGCAAAACAGTGTACAGTGAATGGGTTTCATTGATATTTTGCCTTTTATGCCCAATAAAAAATAGAATATCGGAGGGTGGGGTGGGCTGGTATCACCGAGACTGCTTTTTCAGTCATTGACATATATTTACTTTACTTTGCTAAAATGCAAAGTTATTTACATATTAATATCTATTTGTGTTGAACCTAGCAAAATGGTTTTAGGTTGCCTCCCTTGTTGTGTTTGGCATTGTAGCAACCAAGTAATGAAGACCAGTGTATGATGTATGAACAAGGCATATCGCATACCTAATCAGATGAAGAGAACTGGGCCAGTGTTACACAACGTGCAATAACCTTGGTCAACATATGCTGTTATGCAACCAGACAGAGGCAGTGATATGTGATATAATAGATTAAGAGTGTGTGGGAGACATCTATTGTCAGTATTTGTCACCCAGGACTATATGTCACACTTCATTACATCCTGTGGAATGTTAGTGCAGTTGTTGCGTATTTGTTCAACTGAAGTGAATGAACTTACTCGTATGTACTTAGTATTCTTTCATAGTGTCACCAACCTTGGATGTCGACCAGGAACAATGCTTTACCCTGAACAATTACGCTAGGTGTAGATAGTGCAAGGTTACTGGTTGGAATGAAATGAAGTAGTCTTGGTACATATTACCTCCATTGATCGTCAGTCTGGTTTTGATTGAGTGAAGGAAGTGTGGGTTACTACAAACATAAATCTAGGTCTGGTTGTCCTGTCTTTAGAACTGTTCACATAACAGTATGTGAAGTCAATTTAAGAATATGTGGCGGCCTTTGACATGACTACTAGTCGGAGGTTCGTCAAATGTAGGGACTACTAGTAATGTACTAATGTTATGTATTCCTGTGTCGCCCCGAGTGTAAGAACTGTTTGTGTATTTGAATGACTCACATGAGGGACTTAGCTTGTTTTTGTTTTCAATAATCCAGTTTGGTAAAGCGTTGTTTGTATTTCATTGCTGTCTCCATATGTTCACGTTCTAGTTGTTACAATCACATCATGAAGTCTGCGGCTTGTGCAGGCTCACCTGAAGTTCAGATGCAAATGAGTTCTTTTTCTCATAGTTTATATAACATAAGTTCACAGATTTATCTAGACCGTCTCAGAGGCTGATATTTGGTCCCAAGTCTGCAGTAAAAGTCTGTAAATATTTGCAAATGGGAACGGAGAATAAACTTTTCTCAATTCATGTTACTAATTAGTGGGGGAACCATAATCGGTGCACTGGTGCATCGTGTGTTTTTATGCGACGATACGATACATGATACGTTTTTTTTCTGTATCAATACTTTAAATTACCCTCAGCATTTTTGTCAGATATCGCAAAATTGTAATTAGCGCTTCAAGTTCACTACTAAAATAGTTGCAACGGACGTTTGTCTACAGCTAGTGTTTCCTTTTGAACCTGCTCTGAAATATTAAAGAAGTTTCCATGCGAATTGACATAAATATGCATACGATGCGTATCGTATTTTGACCTTGCTGTATCGTTTCAGTTCACCGCCGTTACTAATGTGATGGCATGGTTTTGGTCACTTGTTTCTCACTGATAACAGGTCAAATAAAATTTCTTTTGCTTTATTTTACATTATTGCATTGAGGCCACGTTAATACCTCTAAAATTAAGACCATAAGTATTTTTTAAAAATCCAAACAAAATAATTATTTCCCAGTGTGCTTTAAACATTAGATAAATCCATCACCCTTTTCACAATGCGCTATGTTTTATGTGATATCGTGTTTCCTGATATTGTTGTATTCAGATGTAGAAGGGAGATGAGGTAGCCTTGTGGTTAAGGCGTTCGCTCGTCACGTCGAAAGCCTATGTTTGATTCCCAACATGGGTGCAATATGTGAAGCCCATTTCTAGTGTCACCTGCCATGATATTGCTGGAATATTGAAAAAAAATGGCATAAACTATAGTCACTCACACAGATGAAGATTTACTGCGCTACTTTCTTAGTTATCCCCCAGGCAAGACTACTGTTTAGGATAGATTTACAAGCATTAACATTATCAATTGAAGGGAATTGGTCATCCAAGATTTAAAAAAAAAATTTAAATGTCCTGTGACAGATAATGCAAATGTCCTCATGGGCATGTGTGTGAAACATGTTCTTGGCATCCCTCCTGATGAAATGGCTGGAATAATGCTATCAATTGACCTTGATTATGTGCTTGTGGATATTACGCCTGGTAAACGTCTCAGACCTGCATCACTTCGGGCTTTCCTCCCACATTAAGCTGACATGCCGTGATATAACTGGTGTTAAACCCAACTATCTCACATTTACTCACTGACTCCAGCTGCAGTGATGATGATGTTGTTGTTGATGATGATGATGGTTATGTATTTCAGGAACAAGGAGGTGGTGACGACACAGATTCGCGGACAACTCCAACGTCCACGGGGGTGCCACACCCGGCAGTCTCATCGCTCCGCCCGGTGCCATCACCCTCGGGGTCAGCAGGGTCAAGGTCAAATACGCCAGCCTCTCTTCCAGGTAGGCCAACAAGACACTACGGGTGTATGATCAGTAATAGCAGTCTATAACCATTGTTGCCGGAACACAAACCAGATCATTTAATGATCATTGGGAACAGGGAAAACATTTTTTTAACCTTTTTGTTTCTTTGTCTTTTGGCCATATATATTTTACTCTATTATTGCAAGAATAAAAGGACATTGATTGGCAACGGTTGTTGCTGGTTGCCAGAATAGATTTAGAAGGGTTCATATATCAGTAAGGAAGACATGTGTCGCAATTATGCTCACGAGATTCTGAATCTTGCCATTTATAATCTGATACTTACCTCATGATACAATATATAATATGTTTTTATTAGACTTCTCTCATCTTTTTAATATCTGACCGCCGTCATAAAACTGGAATATTGCTGAGTGCGGCGTTAAGCAACAATCAACAATTTTAATGTCTGATCAAACTTGGAAACCTTAATTGCAAGTAACTGTAAATGTCACTTCAACATGTTCAAAAGTAACAGTCCCTTTTGTGTCCATGTCTCTCCCTGGCAATGTGTTTTAGTTGTTGTAACCGACGTCAGGGTAATGATTGTCATGGATCCCTGTAGATACTTTGAGGTCTTTGAGGGATGACCCTTTTAGCAGTATTGCAGCGATATCCTGGCGGGTGAAACAGCCTCCACCGATTACACCCATGTGGGGAATAGAACTGAAGGTCTCTCTGGCTTCATAGAATGGACACTTGACCATTTGGCTATCCACTGCCTCTCTCTAAGTCACTTAGCTCTATATTTAATTTAATTAATATTATTCATGTATTAGTGGGGCAGTGTGGTGGTCTTGTGGTTAAAGCCTTAGCTCGTCACGCCGAAAGACCCAGGTTCCATTCCCCACATGGGTACAATGTGTGAAGCCTTTCCCGGTGTCCGATGCCGTGATATTGCTGGAATATTGCTAAAAGCGGCGCAAAAACACTCTCACTCACTATTAGTGCTAGGAATCACTTAAAAAGGATTCTTTATTTTTGACTACAGCTCAATCAACGTTTATCTGTAGAGAACTTCATCACTGATCAGAATACCACAAATAATTATTCATTTAATGAACACAAATTGGTCACAATTGTCATTATATTGATTTGAGTGTGTTAAGCCAACTGTTTAACTCGCTGATGGAGTTATAAATGATTTTGTTTTAAGTAGACAATTAGATGTAATTTTACAAGTAATAAAATTATTCATAACAAGTTGTATGAACAAAAACTATTTTACATTCAATAGATGAAGAATGACTATCAAATGGATTATATTAAGGGGACACATTTCCCTTTTTTGAAATTTCAGCCAATATTTGAAAACTATTAAGTTTGTTATTGAATTGAGGACAACTTAAGCTCAATATTTTCATCTACTTTCAACATTACATAGTTTCAAATGAAATATCTCCTTTCGGGCATGGAACTTTTAATGGATATGGATGCACGGTTGGTCGAATACAGGGGAACCTTGTTTGAAATTAAAGAATGCTCGGTGGATTCAAAAGTAATCAATTAGAAAGTATCAGCCTGTGGCTAGCCTGGAACCTTGTTATATTCAACTTGTGCATGCCTTGATCAGAATAGCATGGGCTGCAATGCTGGTTTATGAATCCCAGCGAAAGATAAGCCACCAGTGTATTTATTAAACCTGTTGCTTGATAGCGGAGGACATTGTGTAATGCCTTTTAATTTGTTTAGTTTTAGAAAATATAGCAAAACACCTTATTGCGTTTGTATATTGTCAAATGAAAATCCACTTTTGTTGAATTAATCTTCTTGAAAAAAATATGGAAATTTCACAGCCAGGTGCACTGATACACATTAAGAATATACTGAAATTGTTCATCTACAATGACAGACTTTGTTCAATATGGAGCCGATATGTATCGTTTCGGAGGCATGGCCCCAAGACACAGGAATGAGGATGATGCACTGACTAGAAGGCCCAATTAATCTAACTTGCAAAATTTGGTTTGTGTCCTAAAAACCCTTGAGAACCACTTAAGCTGAATCAGTGTAGATACAGAAACAAACATCGATTCCACCAGCACATTTCACATCATTTTTGTTTTGTAAACAATTAATTTGGTTCTCTGCGCTCTCCTGTTGAGAGTCTACATTGTCTCGACATGTCCCAATTATAGGCAGTTTGAGAGACAGTATTAGATGTTCTGAACAAATAATTCCTGTTTCATTTATTTCTGCCTCCAAGTACACCTAGTGCAGGAGCTCTGTACATCGGACACATTCCGAAAAAGTCCAACCCTCTGCATCATTCATGAAGCAATCATGGTCTGTGTGGAAATATAAATAAAGTTTTATGCCACCTGCTTTAGTATTTGTACACCTTTCACGTGTTGTATCAGTGTATGTGTCAGTTTGTGAAGAAAATATATTAGCATTAATTTCAGAAATAGGGATATATATCTGTGCTGTTTAGATCTTCCAAGCCTTAGATTTTTACCAGATTCTGGTGCCAGACAAGGGGATATGGTTGTGTACTCCTCACAATTCCAAAAATTTCTCTTGCCCACACTTACAGGAGTGCTCGCCAAGCCTTGGATTGTTACAGCTATGAGATCTCAGGTCCCATGTCCCTGGAGGCTGGGTGTTTGGGGGTATGGGAAGGATAGAAACCCGGGATTATGAAGAAGCCACTCTCATGTCACAATGCACGTGTGGCCTAGGTGTCTACTTGAGAAAAACGTTTGAGCTTATGTTGATATATGATCTATTAGCTGTTATAATATGAAGGGAGTGTTGACATGTACAGTTTGGCTGTGCTTGCCATGCCTCCTATAGGATATGCCTCTGTTCAAACAAGCCATTCTTATCACCCTAGTATCAATGCTCAAGCAAATATTTGTGAAGCATATGAATTACTGCTAATCGACAAGTCGGATGGCGTCATAATGAGGGTGGCATGTGATCCGGACCTAGGCTGATCTTTGAAATACAAGCAGTAATTATTCTGTCAGGCTTGTGTTAAAATTTAAGGGCTTTTGAATAAAAAATTACAAAAGAAATTCCCGGCCAAGGTGTAAGCTCACATTGGCAGATGCTAGGGGTAGTCGAAGAATGATCACCACATGGACGACACATGCGCCTCCTTACGTCTTCATACAGAGCATGAACGATATGCTATTCATTGTCCCACGGCATGTTTGCCATTATGATATAATAGTGCAATGGCTTTGTTTATCTGTGTCAGTAGAAAGCCATGCATGGAAGAGAAGGGGAAAACCCACATTAGAACCACCTTGAAGCATTGCATACTTGCAATTACACAAGTGGGCTTTGCAAATGGGGAGTGTGAAAACATTCATTTGCTGCATTGCACAGTCAACTGGTCAATTACTGGTGAGGCTCGCTACCATGCATTGTCAAGAGTGGCCAGACCACAAACTGGATTTTACATGGTGCTTAGACAGAGTATTAATAAAATATGGTAGCATTTGTGTTCATTCATTAAAGAAAAAATGGCTATAGATGTATTCTGAATTTTATGTCTTTTTGTATTTACATGAAAGGAAAATTCTAATATATTTGACTACCTGTGGAAGTGAAAAATAAAATGACTTGCTTAAATATTTAAGTTAAAATAATTTGAGTAGTTAAAGTGAAGGTGGAAACTTGAATTTTCTCATTCAGTAATGTGGCTGTGTCATACCACGGCCAAGGTTTGCACCAAGCATTGTTTTCTATGTAGAAAATATTTCATAGATAACTAACCTTCTCAAGATTTTCCATGAATGATGTGAAATTGTTATTCTGGAATTCGCTCTGGTTTCTTGCAAGATCATATATTATTTTTTTTAAAGGTTCAAGTAAAAACAAACCAGCTCATTCCAGTCCTACTAAAACGTAAGATAGTTATGATATGTTTTATTGTACATATAAAACTCACTGAAACACGTTCATTATGACAGTTATCACACAGTAGTGATAATACTGAAACACAATGTCAGGTTATAGCCACAGCTCCATGGTGTATGTTTGCAACTTATGGGCTGGTTTATAGTGAACACAACTAATTCTGCAGAGCAGGATTTGTGCAACTGCTGTTGATGTAAGTTAGTGTTCTGGCTTGCATTCATTGCCAGGAAAGTAGATTGGTTGTTATTACATAAACATACGTACAGAAGTGACATCTGGTCCAAATGACATTTTATGGAGGGGATTTCCCAAGATGAGTGGTTTTGAGCCTCTCACCACTAGGGGTTTTCCATGCTCTGCAGCTTAATCTCGGGTCACTAATTATAGCCATCAAATTGCTTCTCACCAAGAGGAATGAGCATCGGACACCTGGTGGGAGATATTTATTGCAGCTGCCCCACTATAACACCTTGCCTGGGGACAGCCTGCAGAGTCATTGTTTTGGTGTGGGAGGGAAATTGGCATGGCAAGATACAATGTTGATAAGTCATTAGCACATAGTGTGGCAGTAGGTCAGAGGAGTACAGTGTCACATATTGTTACACCATGTTGCCAATCACTGTGCTATAGGAGGGACGTGACCTTTGTCTGAAGGCAGTTGTGAGGAAGTAGGTCTGTCTGCCAATCATCTTTCATCCATGCCCATGTTGTGTGGCTGTACATTGAGAGTGCCTCAACTGGTGGGGGAGGGGGGGTTGAGTTGAGCAGGGATGTGATATCCATCACAGAGGTTTACATTTGGAGCAATGCTTGCACTGAATGACCTTATCGACAAGTGTTAAAGACGGCAGAGTATATAGACGGAGGGATTGTCTTGTTACTGCGGGAGTGATGAGCAGGCTAGCCCTGTAGACCCTCAGGTCAATAGCTTATCCCCCAAGTCCTCATGTATTGATAGTATTCTATCTATGTCTTCCCCATTCAAAGCTCAACTCTTCACGATGGCAAAGTAGGGGTTTTCCAAACTAGATCTTAAAATACAATTGCCAAAAGTGCACTGGCATAGCATTTCTGTTTTTGATGTGCCATTCATTTTCATTTCATTTCGCTGTAGTAAGATTTAAGGGTTGAGCCAGGATTTTACGAGCCTTGTGTTCAATTATTTTTGGCTCTTTTTATCTGATCTTTTAAGGTAATATTTCTCTGAATAAGCCCTGTTTCATTAGTTAGAAATGTTAACATAATTTCTAATGGATCAAATTTAGCGTTCATTTTGAAGGCCATCAATAAATATAACAATCTCCTTTATGTGGTTAGGCTAAGTGGGGGCTCTACTCTCTTTTTTTCACCCTTTAAAAATTGTGAGCCATTCTTCTGATACCTCATCCTTTTACATATAAATGGGAAATGTCATCACAAGCCATTTAGTCCTTTGTAGTAGTGAGTATTTTGTCATTTAGAAACACATTAAATCATTATTCTTTCAATTCCCCTAACGGCGGCATTGTCAGTGATAACATAGTAGCCAGTTCTTTTTATATTCTCCCTGTGAATACATTTCCTCATGAGTATAGCTGTCTGAGAGCAACAGTGATACATATTGTTGAATGAGAATTTAAGTGAGTCAGTTTCTTTTATGATAGTGAACTAGGTCTGTTTACCTTGTCGTTGCTCTTGACCTAATAGTCTCTTATCTGGTTGTGTTTGGCTCAAAAAGATGGCCATATGTTGTTCCATTACAATATTGTCTTAAAATATCGCTGTTTTTGTGTTCTTGTGATATGCAGTGAAAAATTGTCCTTGCTTAAAAAAAGTAGATAGTTTAGGTGATATATGCTAGCAAAATATACTTTCCAAATTATTTCTCCAAAGAAGAATGTGTCATGTTTAATGGTGCTGTAAAACAGGTAAAAAATAGCTTACAAAATCATTCTGTGTCAGACCGTCCCCTGTTGAATTCTTTCTATAATGGATTGAAATATATTACATCATTCTGATTTTGATGTTCTAGGATATTTGTTGTAACTTCAGATCCTATAATGCAACGTTTCAATCTCAATTCTCAAGCCCCCAATGTTTTCAAATATTTGATGTTTGGCCTCAAACTAGTGGTTTTCATTCCCGTGTTGCAATACCCAATGACGATCATTATCTTTACAGTAATGGATATGATCGGGTTTTCCTCAACAGGTGAAATAGACATGTTTTTCTATCAAAGAATTTGACCTCAATTTGAGAATAATAGACCATCTAAAACGTCCATGATGAAAAGTTTAAAGTGGAGTTGTCTAACAGGCGAATGGTAATGATATCAATCAGAGACTGGCTGCACAAACTGTGCCAAGGTGCCTATTGATGGACATAATCCATTCAGAAGTAAAGCGGAAAAATTTCCAAGCCAACCACCGATTTTCCATTACCTTGCCTGGCTCACCTGCAGTTTGAGAGACGGCCATGGCTGGAGCTGACTCACTGGTCCTCCTGCTTTTCAGCGATCAATGGCACAAATCTTGATAAGAGAATATTCCTTGCTCAGGCTCCAACATGCCACTACCAATCCTTCTCTCTGTCAGAAGAGTGCAGGACATTTTTCTCTTTTTGTAAACTGCTCTTGAATATTGTATTGAATGTGTCAATTGGACCTGTAAAATTGATATTTAGCTTTGAGAATATTCTTTGTGTGTGAAAATATTTATGGATGTGACCTGCTTTTTCAAGTTGATAAATATTTCATGAAATAATTTACATAAGATTAAGTTTGTATTACTGACTAAGCCAATTCTAGTAAGCCTGTTACAGAAGGTTTAGATTTTTAAGTGTGGAACAGTTTTATATTCATAATGTTTAATCAAAGGTTTATCCAGTGTACAAACATGAAATATACTTAATTGTATTCCCCATGCTTCATCAGAGTTATTTAGGAAAAATACTATATCTTACATTATAACGTTAATGAATGCTATTGAATTATCAGTAAACCTGATGGTATTCTGACAAGCCAGTGACAGCTGTTGGCAGGTGGGAATATATTCAATAATGTGTGCGAGTTTCTATTTTTGTAATTTTTTGTTTTCACAAATATCAATAACAGTGTGGATATTTTTATGCAGTTTGAAGTCTTTTGCCCTCATGTGTTTGCCCCATCCAAATATGACGCCAAGAAAACATAATGAAATGGTTAATGTTTATTAAACACTTCACTTCAGAAAGTTAATAAGTGAAACTGAAAGCAACACACTTTTACAACCATTGTGAAACTAGCACAATTAAAACAAATAGAGGAAAACAAATGAACAGGGAAGTATATAACCCGTATAGCATGTCTGGGTGGTTGTTTACGTTACAATAATTCCCCACACAGAAGAGCCGCATGGTGCCCCCTCCCCTCAGGAGCCTCCACAGCAATGTGTTGCTACGCCATTGATCATCACTACAACATGTGTTCTCTACTCCTCCCGAGAGAAGCCTGCTGTGATCAATTGTACAACATAGTAGTACATGTACTGAATCATTTATAGCCACACAACTCAGCTGATTCTAATTGTCATCACTTGAAACCTTGCTACACCTCTGTACCCTGTTACAGGTGTATTAAAGAGTGGTAGAAAGTACCAATAAAACAGAGCGGTTTTATTCTTCAAGCAATTATAAAAGATAGGTTCATTGTTTTTCTTTTTTGAATAACTTGATTAAAATTGAAGGAGTATAATAGGTATTTCTTTTTGAGTATTGTTAGTTGAGTTGAATGTTTGGGACAGGTGAAATATTCAGCTGTGTTCTGTGATGGAAAGGAACTCCTTGTGTAAGGATTTTAAATTAAGTTACAGTGTTGCCATCTAATGGTGAAAGTTCATAAGGGGAATGTCACTAGTCCTTTCTGAATTTTACAAGTCTCTGACTAGCAGACTTATGTTAGTTTCAAACCCTGGCAGAACTTTGCAAGTGTTGTCAGCAGATAAAGTTCAATCAGGGATAACTCTTTTATCTTAACACTTAAGGTTACATTATGAAATGCGTACCTCTCGGACCCTTGAAGATCAGGGGTAGAATACCATGCTTGCCGTAACAGGCGACTGTTTATTGTAAGAGGCGACTAATGGGATCGGTGGTCAGGCTTACTGACTCATCGTATCCCAATTGCATGGATCGATGCTCATGATGTCACTCACTGGATTGTCTGGTCCAGACTCAATTATTTACAGACCGCAATCATAAAGCAGATATTGCTTACTGCAGCATAAAACAAACAAACATCATCTAAACAATAAAAGTTACGTTATGAAATATGTACCTCTCGACTGAAGAGCTAGGTTTGATTCCTGTGTACAGATTAGGGAGCACCAACAGGTTAATAATGCTACAATAATGAGTGAAGTGGCATGAAATCCCTGTATCGCTCACTCATTGAATGCTTCCATAGTCCGAATAGGTGAAGAAGTCTACTGCAGTGAAACTCATGCTGCTGTGGATTTGTGATGTCTTTGATGGTGGGATATTTATGGAAGACATGTTATCCCTAAGTGTAAACTGATCAGATTCAAAGTCTTCCTCAGAAAAATAATCTTCTGGTTTCATGTTTTTGGGGAAGAGTATTTGGTTTCTGATCTGCAAAGGTTGCCTTTTTGTGATACTGCATAAATGATCCAGTTACATTCCAGGCAGTGAGATGTATTTAATTCTATATTCAACTAACAAGATGATTATTTTGCAGGAAATCAAGCTGGCAGTCCTATGCCTCCACGACCGCCGTCCAGTCAGTTGGAAGGTCAAGGTCGCATGAGTCAGTCACCAATGGCAACACAAGGTATGAATGTGCAGTTTGATTAAATCTGCTACATTTGGATGGAACATACTTCTGCAAAGTGAAAACTTTCACAGCAAAAAATCCCAATCTTTAGCAGAAAGTGTAAATATGGTTGAATACCTCAATTCATATATTAATAGATGTTGCTGTGAATAGTAAGACTGAAGATTAACAGGGCGCATTTTACACTTTTGTATCATACTACTCAACAGAAATGAAATTCCTGTTAATTGTTGCAATATTGAAAGTATTCTGTTGATGTGTTGAAAATCAAAAACAGCTTCATTAAATGGAAGGAAAGAAGTTTCCTTCCACGTTGCTGGAGACGGTATGCTGCAGTGCAAGGGAGGCAACTGCTGAATAACTGGGTGGAAGATATTGATTGGCTTCCACCAGTTTGTTCAAGCAGTATTGTCTGGTTGGGTAGTAACACATGCTCTTACTATGAAATGAAATATATAACGCATAGTGTGACATAGGATAAGTATATAATTTATACAAATTATTAGAAAATTTACAATATTTATTAATTTGCTTACCTTGATGCAGGCTACAACCAACAAATGATGCCGCCGCCTATAGGGCCAAACCAGATGGGGTTTGTGCCTGGGGGGAACAAGATGGGAGGGGCACCAGGACAGATGGGTCCTGGGCAACTCGCACACTATGGTCAGTACAACAACCAGTATCCCCCCGGCCCGGGACCAGGACCAGGCCCAGGTGAGTCCTTCTCCCCAATAGAGTATCTTGTCTGCACAACCTTCTGAATTCAAAGAGCACTGCCTATTTCACTACACACATGTAAGGGAAGTTGTCAATATAGTTGTTGGCTATATCCACAAAGACTTGCTTGACTTGTTACATTTAGGGGAAATTGTCAAGCAATGTGGCAAGATCCACAAAAACCTTTATGCGACTACTTACATTTAATGGAAATTGTTACGTAATTTGAGGTCCACAAGAATTTAAGATAAATGATTAGATGTTTGGATTTGATGTATTAAAATTTGATTTTAGAAGGCGGTGCGATTGTAGTGCTTTTGATTGTGTGTCTGTCTGTGCTATCCATGTTTGTTGTTTTGTTGTTGTTTTGTTGTTTTGTTGAGCAACCCCGCATTAACCGTTGTTCCCATCACCCCAGCTTCTGAACTGATCTGTAGTTTGTAGTCGTAGACTTGTTGTCGTCAAACCACACACACAAATAGTGAAACAGATGTTAGATATCAAAGAAGGAAAATGGTATGTAGTGTCAAAATAGTGCATGAATGGCTCCGGAGCTTCAGATTTTTATGCTTGTTGATACAAGTGGAACGTGTTTGGCAAAGTATTATGGTGATAATTGGACTGACTTTTAAGTGTACTCAATATGTTTTGATCAAGTTGTGAATATTGTATAATGTGAATGTGGAAAATCGATAATTGCATGAAAACTCTAGCCCGTCAAGGGTTGTAATGTGCAGTTAGTACTTAAATGTGGTGGTATGCATGCTGTGAATATGTCTAACAAAAATAAAAATAAAAATCTAGTTTTAGTATTTCGGTCTGCATGCTGTATTTGGTTTGACTAAATTATTTTGTGCATAATGTAAAACTTAATTTGTAAAGTGATTGTCATTTTGAAGTTGATTTTAAGTTAAGTATTTTTTGGTTTATTGTTGCATTTGACACTACTGTGCAAATCGGCAACCAATCCTTGTCTATCTGACAGGGCTGCCAAATTATTCACCAGTCATACCAAACCAAAGAATAACAACAGAATCCAACTTGGTGGTTACTTAGCGATACTGAAGTGAACATTACTGATAGGAAAGGCCTGCATTGGCATTGAACTAGAAATCTGACAAGTTTTTCTTTAGATTGTAGTTTGTAGTTACAATTTAATTGCTTCACTTTCACAAATTTGAATTAACCTTTGAATTTGGATAATTAATTAATCATAGTGTTCTCATAGTCGGTAATGAATGAAAAAAACCCAACTGGTTTGAAACACTAAAAGTGTATTGGTTTACTAGTAGTGAAATTGCTCCTGTAGCTTTAACACTGACTTTAGACGTAGCCTATGCAAGTAGGACTGTATCGTGTATTAAGCGGTAAGGGAGTTTCCAACCCTGTTATCCTGTTCCATCACCTATGTCGGCTTTTCCTGATCACAGTCTCTGTCACTTCATGGTGAACGGCAATTGGGCAGCCCTGTCAATCACGTACTTCACACTGATTCTCATCAAGGCGTTCTGTCTCATCATGCAGAATAAAAGATGATCATAAATTGTCTTTCAGGGAACTATGGACGTCAGCATAACGTCCCGGGCATGCAGAATGCCTCAGGAATGTCCAACTATCCCTCTCAGAATATGTATAATGGGCCAAATCCGATGGGGCAGGGAGGTCCTATGTACAACAACATGCCCTTGAACCGAGGAATGGGCAGTTCCAGCTACAATAATGCGTACAGTGGCCAAGGCAATGTGAGCATGGGACAGATAGGGGCAATGAACAATCAGTACAGTGGCTTCAACAACCATATGGGTCCGGGTCCAGGTCCTGTCCCTGGCCCTGGGCCGGGTCCAGGCTCCGGTCCAGGCCCTGGCCCAGGGCCTGGCCAGCAGGGGCCTGGTATGAATCCCAACATGCCGAGTCACTCCTCCATGAACTCGGTTGGTCCACCAGGTCAGACCGTACAACCAGGTATGGGGATGCACACATCTCCACCCGCAGGGCCGCCCATGCCGGGCCCAGGTGGCGTGAAGGGGGCTCAGGCCGCTGCCCAAGCTGCCATGATCGCTGCTGCCAACAGTGCTGTCGGGAGGGGGGCCCAGATGAGATCGGTACCGTCTGTGCCGATGGGGATCGTCGGACAACCACGTATGTTTGGCCCGCAGTCGGCCAATCAGATGCCACCCAATCAGATGGCACACATGAACCACATGGGTCCGATGAACCCAAATATGAACAGTATGGGTCCCATGAACCCAAACATGAACAATATGTCAAATTCTATGAATCAAATGCCTAACAGTATGTCCCATAGTCCAGTGACCAACAGTATGGGCCCGGGTTCATTGGGGCCTTCAGGTCCTGTTCCTCCACATAAAGGTGGCAAGTCCAACAGCACTGCCTTGCCTCCATCAACCGTGTCGGGGCAATCCAACAGTCCGCCAACAAGTGCAGCAGAGAATTCCACAACTGCTGCCTTTACGACGACATCCACAAGTTCTGTCTCACCCATGCCGAACTCCCAACCTTCACCACCAACAGTTAACCCCAAATCCCCAGCGGCTGTATGTCCGATGGAAACGAAGGTTGCAAACTCGGAACCAGCAGACAGCAAGAGTTTATTGTCGGAAACACCATCAGCAGTTAACAGCGGCTCCAACTCCTCCGATTCCATGCCAGCCTCTTCGACAGACACGAAACCTGCTGATCCACCTGCAGAGTTACCCGAGCCGCCTCCAACCACAGCTGCTGCTACTCCCCCAACGTTAGTAGCCAACACCACGACACCATCAAACTCGGACACTGTGAGCAGCAGCAGCAGCAGCGGCGGCGGGGACGGCACCTCCCCCAACCCGGCCCAGGCTCCAGCACCCCCCTCCACAGAGTCTAGTGGAGGAGAGGTGAAAACTGAAGGAACTATGACAATGTCCTCCTCCTCTTCCCCTGAACACCAGCCTATCACTACAACAGCTATCACAACCATGGGTAAGTTCACATGAGACGGGGGTCACAAACTGCCCAGTCAGTGCACAAGTAGCTACAGAACTGTGTCCCGCACCAGATTTGCCTCTGCACTGGCATATCTTAACCTTGCTTTGACTTTCTCATGGATCATAGTATTTGTTCAGTGTCAGTGCTGCCAAATTGCCTCACCATGCTTGTGATGGGATTCTACCTGTCATTTGTTCATTTCTCTTCCCTTTCCTGCACCTTTTTTGTTTCATTCTTATTCACCCTTTTAGAACAGGCAGCAATCCAACTGCCTTTTTCAAGCATTTGTTTTAGGAGATTGGAAATACAAACCTTGTTGGTCCCTTTGTTTCAACTGGCATTGAATTAAAGATTTTTATAATAGTTAATCAGACAGTTTCATCCCTTTCCACCTCTCTTGATGGTAATAAACGTCATTCGTCTTCTGTAACATTCAAGATCATTTATTAGCTTATAAATGAATGGAAATTATTTTTTTGTACATCAAAATCAAAGAGACCAACAAAGTATGTTCTTTCCTTAGAGATGTTGAATCTTGTTCATAATCCTTATTAACTAACAGAAACGTGTGTTTGTATTTTAAGAAGAAAAAGTAGTTAAAGATGTATGTTAAGCTTTCTGTTGAAGTTATTTTTCTGTTTCTAACCATAGTTCTTTTGTTTGTAGTCCTTCAGCAGCTATGCTGATCTGCATCGTAGCCCATCATGCTGCTTGAGTAGCCTCCCTTGGTTGTTCTGCACTGACAAGATGGATGTTTGTTGTGAATAACCTCTCTCGATGTCCATTTCAGTCAGCACAACTACTGTAGTGACCCAGAGCATCACTTGTCCTGTGACCTGCGTTGCAGAGACGACCATGTGCAACTCTCAAATGGGAATTGACAGCATCCCGAGCATGCCAGCAATGAACTGCATCCCGATGCCAACGTTTCCGGAAGAGCCTCCTGAGAAGAAGAAAAAGGTTTGTGCTCCGAGATGCAGTTGGGCTTTGTAGCAGTTGACCTTGTGCTGCGTTTATTAATGTTTGTTTGCAGGTTTCAGGTTATATTAGTTTTAGCTCATAGTTGGCTGTAGATTCATTTCATATTATAGTTTCAAGTAGTGTTTAAAATTTCAAATGTGCTTCTGATGAATGTTTGTAAAGATTACAGGTGCAGTAGCAATGAAAGAACTTGTTATCAAGGGGAGATAACTGTTATTCACATGAGATGCTCTCTTCAGTCTCATGGCAGACATTCATGTCATACGTTTTTCCCTTCCAAATAATTAATTAGGCTTTTCAATTATTTCATGCCAGTGTTTTTGTTTGCTTATAATCCAGCTCCATACAATCATCGCGTCCTCATCAGTATTTGCAGATTTGATTTGCTGTAACAACTACTATAGCGCATCTTTAGTTGTAGAGTTTGGCATGATAGGTTAGCTTTCCTAGATTTGTTGATGTTAGTTGTTCCCTTGTCTCTCTTTGATATACATGTCACCATGTAATTACATCATTCTCAAAACTTTAGGAACCGAAATAAGTAAATTTATCTTATTTTTTCTAATTCCTCTTTTTAAATGGTAATAATTTAGCTCCAGACACTTTACCATAAACCTTGTAATTTTGCATTGCCATCAAAATGTTGCAGCTTGGGAAAAAGCATGCAAGATGATTCACTGACAGTCTTTATTATGTACACTTGTAACAATGAACTGGCCTGACATTAGAAGCAGTGATAGATCTATGTTACTCGACTGAGGTGCCAGTGATTTTATTCTAGGACAATGTGGTGGTTGGAGCGCCCTCTCCTGGCGCACCCAATCTTTCCTCTGCTCAGGACGACATGAGCAGTAGCCCCAGTTTGCCCGGAACGCCCGTAAGTCGATTGGAACGATATGAATGGCTCGCTCGTTAATCAGCTCGGGAACTGGCTCCGCCTATCCTTTTCCCCACTGCTTGGGCCCTGGTGAAAGGGTCGGGTACTTAATTCGTAATGTCCGATTATACTCACACGCCCCCGCCGACCAACCAACCATCTGAGTAGTTCGTCCGTTCTTCGTCTGTGCGCCCCTGTCTGTCTGTGAATCCCTCCCGATCACCAGGTACCCTTTCCTTATCGCCTTCCTGTACGGTGTCTGGTGACAACGTGGTCTCTCTAATCGACTAACGTTACTGACAGGTGTCTGTGTAGCTCTCATTCCTTCCACGTGGGGGTGTCAGTGTTGGCTTCTCAGCCATGGTGGTCATCAACTCAGCAGTTTTTGTTTTATTTTGTGTTTTCAGTGAAGCATGAAGTATTATTTTCCCTTCACATTTTTACACATCATCAAAGTTATCTTTTCACTTCACTGTCATCAGAATTTGTATATGAAAAACATAATTCAGATTCTTATCTCTGCTCTTAACATTGTCATTGAACTTTTTTATTGCTTATACATAATAGGCTCACGATTTGATAGGATCATTTCTTTATATGAAGAAAGAAAATGTCCCTGTCAATTGTTGAGTGGTATGCATTGAAAGTTCAATCATTGTGAGCTAACATGTTTTGGTTTTTGAAACTTGCATGCTCTGTTGTGTCGATGTTGTTAGGGAGACGCTTTGATGATGTGCAGGTGAATGCTGAATATTATGTTGTTTGGTCAGGGTTTGTATCTATTTTTCAGTTCAGGCTCTAGCTCACAATGACTTCCGTTTTGTTTCTTGTCTTTAGCAAATATTCTTGACGCATGGGATATTAAAATGTCGTCTGCCACAATTGGAATGTGTGAAGAGAAGGAATGAGATTAACAACATAAAACAGACTCCTTGATCAACAAAATTAATTTTTTAGGTTTCCCTGAAAAAGTGATGTTGCTGATGTATCTAATTTCCTTAACCAGCATTAACCGCATATAGCCTTCATGTATTTAACTCACTAAATATTGAGCACAAAAGTAACCGTTGAGGTCTGATTCCCTCAAACTCTGTTGTACAAAGTCCACATTGAACTACAAACCATCTTTCATAGCTCAAGGGAGAGAACTCTGGAGTCTGTTTTGTGAACTGACATGTTTGTGCCTTTTCTACGTTTTCATTTTCATGTTATATCCTTCCAGAAATCTGGTGGTCCTGCTGATTTGGGTAAATTGTATGAGATGGGAATGGAGCCGGAGCGTCGACCATTCCTGGACAAAATGTTGATGTTTTTAGAGGATAAGGGGACTCCGGTAACATCGATGCCTTCCATCAGTAAACAACCTCTTGATCTCTATAAACTATATCTCTGTGTGAAGGAGAAAGGAGGAATGGTTGAGGTGAGTGCTGCACAGCATTGTTTGTTGTGTGTATATTTACATATATTATCTGTTGGTGTTAGAAGTGGAAAAAAGAAGAAGACCCTTTTGTAATATTGACTGTTATTCCACATTTCCGTTTTTTGCTTACAGTGCTAAGTTGACAGAATAAGTATTATTTAAGGCATATGACCTTTTCTTACAATACAGACACATCAAAACATTATTATGTAGCACTAACTTGCCAGCAGTTGCGTCAAACTGAGACCATCTTAGCTTCAGTCAGCTGGGTAGTTAATCCATTTTGCCTCCTTTTCCCTGCTGTGGTATTGTTGAAATATTGCTGAAAGTGGCATAAAACCATACTCACTCACTCTCCTTTTCAATTTCTCATTGTGGTTCAGAGGTGTTACATCCTCCATTTGGGGTGGGGGCGGCCCAGTCGTCTAAGGCACTGCGATTCGCTGTGCAGAATTGCGTCCCTTGAGCACGCAAGAAACCTATGATTTTGGGTTCGAATCCCGGTTTACCCCGATTGTTTCTAGGTTTGTCAGCACCATACCCGTGCTCTTGGGTTTCACCGAACTGGTAAACATCTGAGACCTGCATCACTTCGAGCGTTCCTTCCCACATTAAGCTGACACGCCACGATATAACTGGAATACTGTTAAAAGCAGTGTTAAACCCAGCTCACTCACTCCTTTTGCAGAGTTGCGTACCTTTGGTGCTAGGAATTGTTGGTTGGCATTCGAACTTCAAATTTACACCACTTTCCTTTGTCTTGCACAGTAGCTATTACCTATTGGCTTTCTTCTCAGTAAGTTGACAACCTTGAGCTACTAAACTGTTTTATGATCTGGAGAGATGGTTTTGTCTGAATGATTATACAATGTGTATTATTAAACTCCTGATCATTTTTCTTGCAGGTTAATAAGACGAAAAAATGGAAAGAAATTTGTGGTTTTGTGAACATTGGATCATCAGCTAGTGCTGCTTTCACATTAAAAAAGAACTATATTAAGTACCTGTTTGCGTACGAGTGCCAGTTTGATAAAGGGGGCATTGATCCTCAGCCGATCCTTAACCAAATGGAACAGGCTCTAGCTCAGAAACGAGAACAGAAACAGAAGCGAGCCCCTTCACCAGGTAATTAAGCTTTTCAGTCTGTTGAATCTGTTGTTGCTGACCATGGCAGGATACTTGCTGGCTACGTAGCAGGGGTTGGTTTGATATGTAGCCATCAGTTTGATATCCCAATGGAAATGTGGTCACATGTTCCAACGTGCACAAATTAAACTTCCCCTTTCAGGAATTTTATAGCATGCTTGATTCATGAAATGAGAACCTGACCGTCATTGTGGCTATTATGCATCTTTTTAATTGTTTTCTACAATGCTGATAAACGTATGGATAATATTAATGTAAGTACGTACCCCTGTTTAGTAGGGAATGGACATATTGAAAGAAGAACTCTTTGTGTTGACTACAGTGTGCTACAAGTTGCTGAAGTTTCACTTTAAAGGATATATTGTGAATGTAGCCATCATGTTTATGGACTGGGCAATCATACTGAGATCAGCACTTGCTTTTATTTTGGAAAGTCTCCCCGGAGTTTTAACTTTCTAGGTTGTTTACACAACACTTCTTTTGCCCATCTCACATCAAAATAAAGCCTCTTGATTTTATCCACATCCACCACATTGGCACTATCGCTCACATCACTAACATGCGTATAGATAGGAGTCGGGATTTAGGTGTAGAAAGTCCCTGTGTGTCTTCTTTTAGGAATCACGCACCACTTGGAAGGAAAGCTCATTGCCTTGGTGCTCAGTGTAGTTTATCGTCCTGTTCCTGTTTCAGCTGGATCTCAAGGTTCATCGTCCCAGGATGCATTCCGCCCGCCCAGTACCCCAAACAGCCAGGGGATGGACCCCTTCTCCCCAAGCATGCCTCCCCCATACATGCAGAACTCTGACGGGGCAATGGGGCACATGGGAGGAGGTGGGGGCATGATGCCCCCCAACAACATGATGAACCCCAACGCAATGATGCCTCCGCAGTCCAACATGCCCCACCCGTCCGCTATGGGTGGTGGTCATAGCAACATGCCCAACAGTATGATGGGGGGCCCCGGGGGCATGGTTCCCAACAGCATGATGCAGGGCAGTATGGGTCAGAATAGCATGATGGGGAACAATATGCCACCGAACAGTATGATGGGTGGCAGTGTGCCTTCGAGTGGAATGATGGGGGCGTCTATGCCCAATAATGCTATGATGCCGGGGAATATGCCAAACAACAGTATGCTAGGGGGCAATAGTTTTAACCCCCAACAGAACAATATGCTAGGGGGCAGCAGTGTACCTCCAAACAGTATGATGGGCAATGCCATGATGCCCACCTCCAGTGCAATGCCCCCTAGTGCTGGCACGACCATGCCTTCTACATCAGACAGTATAAGTGTTCAAGATCCATTTGCTGATGAGCCGACGTCTACTAATTCCCAATTTTCTCCCCGACAAAGTGTTAATTCTCAGATGCCGCCATATTCAAGTATGCAGCAGCAGCAACAACAATCCGCGCCCCCACCACAACAGCAACCCCCTCAACAGCAGCAGTCCCAACAGCAGCCAACACCTTCACAACAACAGCAACAACAGCCGCCTAACCAGCAACACAACAGCAACTTTAACTACAATGCTCGATCAGGAGTACCCCCAAATATGCCCCAATATTCCAGTAACATGACTCAGTCCAATATGAACAGTTATGGGGATGGTGTTCCCAATCGTATCCCCTCTCAAGGAGAGCAATTCAACGAGTCGTCAACATACCCCCGACCAGGAATGGAATCCTATCCACCTGGAGGTGCTCGGCCTGGTGAATCCTATGTTCCTGGTCAAAGTCAGTACATTGCCAGACCTCCCAGTGCACCAAACAGATTCCCCTTTGGACAGCAGTTTGAACGACCAGAAAGGTGAGAATATGTGCCTCCATACGAGGACCCATAAAGTGGCTGCACGCATGCACGTGCACACACACACTGGCACACTTGTGCACACACGCACACATGCTCTTTGAAACATACTAAACATTTACTCATTTTGTGTTTGATCTGGTATACTAAAAGAAAAAGTATAACAACACTGACTGGTTCGTGAGGTGATCTGTTAAATTGAAAAGAAAGTCACACAAAATTCATCATCACAAATTGCACTGCTCCATTTCGATATTTGTGATTGACACTTTTCTGAACATTTCTGTTCTGTGAATTGTACTGCTCAGGAAATAGACATGCCCTATTTGTTTTTCTGCATTTTTAATATGTATTTAAAACACGCTGTAAATATTACGTTGCTGTTGCATGCATTGAAATATTGTTTTGTCTCAGGTACGACCAGCAACCTGGCCCTACCCACCCCAGCCAACAGTATCGCCCAACATCCCAAGCAGGGATGATGGCTCCTAACCAGCCTGGCCCCGAGCAGATGTTGGGAGCCCGTTACCCGGGGCAACAGATGCCAGGGATGAGGCCGCCTCACGGAGGCCCCCAGGATCAGTACCCAGCACAATCGTACCCAGCACAGGGCCCGGGCTACACGGGCCCCCGGCCCATGATGAGCCAGGAGGGATACCCCGGGTACAACGGTCAACAGGGCTCCTTTCCTGGGCCCCGCCCGCCTATGGCCAGGGACATGACGGGCGGGATATACCGCACCCCTAACAAACACTACGCAGAGATGCCACCAGGTGAGAAAACATTCTCAGGATTTCCGCTATGTTCAGTTAGTTTGTGTACTGGTGTTGAAATATAAACAAAATGTTATATTTCATCTACTTGTATCATGAAAATACTTATACAAAAATCAGTTTTTTAAAACAGAAACTGACACACTAACATTAAATAATTTTGAAGAGACGTCGGCTCCCATAAATGGGGACAGTTTGAAACAGATGTTTAGCTTATATGATTGTTTTTTGGGGGGTAGGGGGGTTTAAGTTAAAAAATATTCTCTATTGATTAACAACTTTGTAATCTTGGTTAAATGTGTTTGACATTCCTTGATCAGAAGGAAGATTATCAGTAAACAGTCATATGGAAAGTGGTGTGGGTATTCTCACCTAGTTTTCCCATCTATGTGAAAACGTATATGTTCTTCTACGAAGTGTCTGTAGACTTAGCTATTTGCCAGATAGTAAGGGCGGCATTTGTTGTCTTTTTTGACAGCGTTTGGCCATTCATCGCCATATACAGAGCGAGGTATGCCTGTCCCTAGTCATGGGGGATACCCTCACGAGGGTATGATTTCACATCTTGAAGGTCACATGACTGGTAGGAGCTCAGTGATTGGTTTAAGCTTTTACTAACTCGGTAGACTCAGTCCCCTGGGCCAAAGGTCCAAGTGATGACTTGTCAAGGCTTGTTGTTCTTGCGTCCATCTTGCTTCTTTACTTTCTCTCTCTCTCTCTCCGTTAGTTGCTTGACCATGAAGCTAAATTTTGTGCTGATGATGCAAGCAATTGTTATTTATATTGAACACAGAAGTCGCTTATTTGAAATTGGAGCAATATTGAAAAGGAAGAACAAGATTCAAAGCAGAAATCGTACCATATCACATATACTACTCAAAAGAAGTTAAGGGACACCACATCCTTTCCTATTGCTATAGTAATCTGCCCTGGCATGACAGACTAACTGTAGTAACATGAAAGAATCAGGTCTTCTTTATCCTCTTTTGAGGAGTATACATGAAAAAAATTACTATAACTATGTCTCATAATCTATAAAGGACAGAAATTGGGAGCTCATTTAATTCAATATTGCTGGGATCGTTCAAACAAAATGTAAGGTTTTCCCTTTTAGGAAAATGGGGTTTCAAAGATATTCAAAATGATATCCTAGACTGAAATACATGGGCCTAAATGTATGTGACAAATATATCTGATGCATTAGTTTGCATGTAGCGTACCCACCCATACAGTTGCTGCTTATCGATTTACACATGCCAGTCATGTCGGCCATATTGAAAGTGTTGTATTGATCCATCGCTCCTTGCAATATTCCTGACATGTTTCTATTGATACCTCTTGATATTGCTCTTATTAATCAGTTAGTCTTGAGCTTTATGTTAATTCATTGTGAATTTGAACAGTTCTCAAAGGTTATGTATTTCATATGACATTGTAAGCGCACACAATGTAGGTGACCTACAGATCTCATGGCTGTTTCGTAACATTCTGACTTGATTTGCATCGTGGGAGGGAAACAATTCAGTTGGATCAATGGATGCAAATAAATGCAAAGAGTTATGTCTTAGAAACATTATGTGCAGTTTCAATTATGAAGTCGGATTCATCAAACAGTAGAATATTTGCTATTGATTATGGGTCTTGATGTTATGACACACACACGTTGATTTCATCCGTGAAAATCCGGGTTAGAATTGATCTTCAGCATCCCGTGCTTGTCGTAAGAGGCAACTAACAGAATCGGATGATCAGACTTGCTGACTTTGTTGATGCATGTCATCCATCATATCCTAATTGCATGGATCAATGCTCATGATGCCAATCACTGGGTTGTCTGGTCCAGACAGGATTATTTGCAGACCGCAGTCATATGGCTGGAATATTGTTGAGTGCGGCGTTAAACAACAAAGAACCACAGTTTGAATTCAGCTGTTTTATTTGAAGTAAAGTGAACCCTTCCAACTTAATGCGAACTAACTCAGAAATGTAACAATGAATGGGATTGGCCAGCTATGGTCGATTGTGGAAATACGGGATTATTACTACCATCTTAATATTTGTCTTAGACTCATTAGTTAGATCTTATTATTTTCCGAGAAAAGTCTTGTGGTTTTGACTAACCATTTTGTCTGATATGATATATCGCATCATATTAGTGTGTACTAATTGTTACTGACACGTCGTTGTTTGTCATTTCTAGTTTATGTGTCGGATGTCGTCTAAGTAGCCGCTTTAACAAACTGTTTTAACTTTGCAAAATATAGAAAGAAATATAACAAGGAATTGGATATTTGAAAGTCTTTTTTCGAATAGCACAGCAAAAACTCCTAGCTGCATATGCTCACCACAATAACATAAACATTGGTCAAACTTTAAAGATCATGTTATAAAAATTATATCTTTATGTAAGCTGCATAAATGAATATGGAGAATGATAAAAATGAAATGGAAGTTTAAATTTATTTATTAAGAAAAATATTTCAGTTTTTCCATGTCATTTTTTTATTGAGAAAAATATTTTAGCTTCTCTGTGCAATTTGATAATGTATCCATAACATTGTTGTGTACTATTTCAGATCCTCGACGAGGTGACGTTGGGCAGTGGTCTCCAATGGCTTCGAGGTACCCCTCCCAACAAGGCCCAAACTACATGCCACATGGCATGGCAGGCATGCCCCCAGTCGCGCCAGGGACACCACCCATGGGGCCATACAGCAGGGCAGGACCTCGAGGATCACCCCACCCCAGAGAAAACAAACCGTATATGACCAAGGCACAGGTAAACATGCCACTTCCTACATAGCAGCCATTGGTAGAACCACATTAGTTGACCATTATCAACATTAATCAACCGTATTCTAATTGGGAAAGAAGTCATTTATTTTTGTAAAAATGTTCTTTTTGAAGTGGGGATGGACATCGAGAGATCGTGTCATGCAGTGAAAGATGTTGAAAGGGGTAGATGTTTGCTGTTTTGCTGTTTGTGCTAAGTGCGGGAAGTGTTGCCAACAGCCTTGGAAACTGCTGTCATGTGACTCCCTTGACGGAGACCCTGACATTCTGTTGCACTTTCAATCTGAGGAAAATTATTTTAAGATTTAAATTTAGAAAAAAACCTTTGAACACTTGCTTTCGTCGTAGCTTGCCCAATTTGTTTACTTTTATGTGTTAATTTAAGTTACAGTTTAGCCACTTTTGAGCTTTTGTGCTAATAGACATTCTGATTTTGCATGCAGCTTCATAGTGCTAGTTGTAGAAATGTAGATTCTCAATCTTTCTCAATATTAACAAATTTTCTCTTGACATACTCGTCATATGCTGGTTGCTAGGGACATGAATGCAAACAGGGACATTTTCAGACAATGACATTGGGCCAAGTTGGAGGTGGGGTGTATGGGGTGGGGGGAAAAAGAGATTAAATATGAAAGCAAAACACGCTTTGGAACACGTATGTAACACTAGAATAAGTGACTTTGCATGCACTTAATAACCACAATGGAAGCTAACAATACAGACTTTGTCACATAAATGAGTTTTATTTGATTAATTGACACCTCATGTACATGTTTCCAGTGAGTAGCCATAAGCGGGTGAACCGATGCTCTGTAGTGGAATGTAGGATGCCAGTTGTTTTCTTTCTCAAAAGCAGCTTTCACCAGATGGCTGACGATGAGCCTTAAGGTAATGGGACACAGCTACTTTATGTTGCTGCTGCTGCACAGCGGCCTCCTCCGCGTAATCCGACACACGAGCTAGCTCGTGCCCAAGGGTCAGCTCCCCGTCGGTCAGCACCAAGGTTGGCACATGTGACAAATATGGCTACTACATATATCCCAGGAACTGTCCCACCTCTCCTCCTGTCTCTCTCCCCAGCTTACGTTAATACTGTGTAGTTCAGTAATAGCTTTTTAGATGTCTATATGTGGTCACCTGACAAAACATTGGGGTTCATCGTAAGGGTAAACTTCCTTCTCCAGCTCTGAATCAAAAAGCCATCCTGAAATATCTTGAAATCTACATTTGTTTTCTATTCAATGATTGGCTGAACACAAGCTTAAACTGTTTTTTCTTTCTTGCTTCTTTCTTTTTATTTTAGTATTTAAGGAAAGAAATTACGTTTTGTTAGCTGAAAAATGCAAGCTTTTGAATGTTGATTTTTGCAGCTTTGTATGGTATTAATTTAAAAACAAAACAAAAAAAACACTTAATTTCCTTTTGGTACAAAACTATTTTCTTTTTCACACCACATCACAGTTGTTTGAGAGAATTTTGTCTGTTCAGGTGATGAAACTGTTGCTTCAGTACAAATGGAAGTAGAGAAAGACATTCCTACGGAAATTATTTTTCATGTACTAATCGTTTTGTGAGGCGTTAACCGAGTTGTGCGAAGGTGTTAAGGAATTGTGATGTTGGCAAGATGATCAGTGAGGTGTTGCAAGAGGAAGCCCAATGTTTTGTAGTGGGTGTCCATGCTAGCTTGGTTCTCGTGTGTTGAGCTACAGCTCTGTTACACTCTGCTGATTCTTTTGCAGCAGAAGCCGGGTACTCTGTTTCCAAATGCTCAGTTCCCTCCTAAGAAGGAGATAGTGTTCCCCCATGACAGCGTTGAGGCCACACTACCGCTTCTCAATAAGAGGCGACGTCTGTCCAGCAAAGATATAGGTCGGTAACACCTGACTACGTTCGTCTGTACGTCCGTCTCTCGTTCGTACTTTCGTGCGTGTCAATCCTTCAATTTGTCCAAGTATTTGTAAAGATTTTTAAAAATCTCCGAACTCCGAGTTCACGACATGTTTTTTACTTAATTGTTCATTGTTTCACGTTTCGTGACTTTTTCGTCTGTAAACATGGAGGTGGTGACCGCTGACCTTTATGTCATATCAACCAAAATAATGGACTTCGGAATTTGAATATTTTGTGAGGCTGCGTCTAGTAAGTGGTACCTAGTACCAATGAGAACCAGAAAATTGCTTTGTGCTGCAAAGGAAAAGCAAATTTAGGTTTACAGCTTGTGTTTTTGGCAATATTTTATTTATTTTGTTTATACATGATTTTTTTCATCATTACATAAATAGACTGTGCTGATTTATTTTTTTGGTCTAAACAATTGGGCTTCAAGAAAATGGCATAGTGCTTATCATGTCCGAAGCCCATTACCTTGTACATTCAGGTAGCCACTCCATTTAACGTAGATATCCTCTTCATTTTCAAATCATTGTGTTACCCCTTTATATGTTCTATGATTACCTCGATATTCTGTAGATCCTATGGTAGTTCATGTACGCCCCCATGACTAATGCTGTTTACTAATGCCGCTTCTCTTTCTCATCAACAGGATCATTGGAAGCATGGAGATTAATGATGGCTCTGAAATCAGGTTTGCTGGCGGAGAGCACATGGGCTCTGGACACTCTCAACGTTCTGTTATTTGATGACAGCACTGTAGCTTACTTTAACCTTGTACATCTGCCTGGCTTACTTGAAGTGTTGATAGAACATTTCCGCAAGTGTTTGATGGAGATATTTGGCATATTTGACGATTCCGATCTTGGGTATGATCACAAGCAGGAAAAGTGTGCCGATGGTGAGTCAGATGGTGAAGAGGACAATTCTGATCCTGATAACCTTAAAAATATTCACGTTACATGGAATGGCAAAACTGTCAAGGTCGAGGAGGAATCCCCTGAAAGATGGGTGGCTGATAGAAAGAAATGGGACGTGTATAGTGGTTACAGTGGTAGGCGGAATCATTGGCAGCTAGGGGGCGGGGACCTGACACATCACATTGTTACACATATGGAAAGTGGCAAGACACACGATATGTTTACCAGGTTATTCTCCCACAGGAAAAGGACTAGAGAAGAACGTGATAGCGTAGTTAATGGCCCTGTGAGTGACCACAGTGAGAATGTGGAGAGTGAGGAGGTGGCAGGAAAGATAGACAAGTCATGTGTGGATACGACTGAGGAGTGTGTGTCGCACGAGGAGACAATCTCAATTAAAGTTGATCATTCTGCTGTGTGTGACAAGACGAAAATTAGAAACAATTTCATCAAATCCGTGCACATGAAGACCGAGCCTCGTGACTCGGGTCTTGACAGTGTAGACTCGAACGATTCATCATCAAATGAGGCAGCAGTGAAAGACAAAGCTGCTGCTGAAAAGTGTGCCGAGGACTGCAAGGAGTCAGAGAAGTGTGTGAATCATATAGACAAGTGTGAAAATTCATCCGATTCGGATCAGGAAGCTCCTTGCCTCACTAAGGAGGAACCCTTTGATCTGAACTCAAAGCCTGAAATGAAAAAGGATGCAGTAAAGGAAGAAAATGGGAAAGAAGAAAAAGAAGTAACTGAAATGGAGACGGACGAGGCATCAAAAGAGGCATCAAAAGAAGCTCCTGAGCCAAAGGTTGAATCTGACATTACAAAAGAGGAGGAGGATACCCCAACAGAAGCTTCATCCGAGTCCAAACCAGAGCCAGTGGATTCCAAGACAGGGGTTCTGAATTCCAGCATCACAAGTCGGGATGATTTGGCAGAGATCAGTCTGTCGGAGCAGTCTCTGCTGAATCTGTCCCACCAGGAGAGTGAGCTGGAGGAGGAGGCGTACCACCGGGATGAACCACCACTGTGCCTGTCCACAGAAGCCCAGGAGGAGCTGGGGCGACGCTGTGTCTGCATCTCCAACATCTTGCGCAGCCTCTCCTGCATTCCTGGCAACGACGTGGAGATGTCGAAACATGCCGCGCTGATGAAGGTGATGGGGAGGTTGCTGCTGCTTCATCACAAACACCTACCTCGCTCAAAGTGTCATCGGAAACTGGTAGAGAGGGATGTGGACACGGACATCGCCGAGCCAGACTTGATGGGAGACATTTGTGAAGGCAACGGGGAATGGTTCTGGAGCTACTTGGATGCTCTGCGTGAGAATACATTAGTGATATTTGCCAACATCTGTGGACATCTAAACCTATCGGCCTACTCTGAGAAAATCTGCTTCCCTATACTGGATGGACTTTTGCACTGGGCAGTGTGTCCGTCATCCTGTGCTAGAGACCCCCTGCCTAGCATGCCCCCCCAGTCCGTCCTCTCACCTCAGCGACTCGTGCTTGAAGCTTTGTGCAAATTGTGCATACATGACTATAATGTAGATTTACTGTTGGCAACTCCTCCTTTTGAACGGATTGTGGACCTGTTTTCAAATTTGTGCAAATTGGTTTCAAATAGGAAGGACCAAGTTCCACGGGAATTTGCTCTAGTTCTCTTATCAGAGTTAGTGCAAGGTGACAGTAGCGCTGCTCGGGCCATTGCTCTGCAACACCCATGTATATCATTACTTGTAGACTTTCTGGAAACAGCTGAACAGAATGCATTGCAGGTGGCAAACACACAGGGCATAGGAGCTCTTCAGAACAACCCGGAGGTTATGGGTACTAGTCTTGACATGTTACGGAGGGCTGCCACCATCCTCTTGAGCTTAGCTAGAATTGAGGAAAATCGCAAACTGTTTGTTCATCATCAAAGTAGGTTGTTAGCCTTAGTCATGTCGCAGATTCTGGATCAGAGTGTTGCTCAGATTCTATCAGACGTTCTGTTTGAATGTTCCCTGTTTTCATAGTGAACAGAAGAAGATTGCATCACGTGAAAGTGGATCCACACAGACAATTTCATGTTATTCTTAACTTTTCTAAAGTTTTTAAAAAACTTTAATTGGAATTCTAGAATGGATATATATCAAATAATTTTTACAAGAAATTTGAAAGAAAGTGAATCTGATTCTACTGCCGTTGGTAGGTATGTTAAACGTTGCACAGCTTCCTATGCCTGCCAAGGCTTCTATTGTAACGCTTGTGCTGTTTAAGCATGGGAGAAACCCTATAAACAGACAATTGCCATATCATAAGCAACATTGACATTTCCCAAACTTACATTGATATCTGTTTTTCACTGCTCATAGAATTGGGTTTCTCATGTACCCGAATGTTCAAGATGTATAAAATATTCACTTACATTTGTTTATAGAACATCCGTTTTCATATCATGTTTTCATGCTGTTTCATTGGATGCCTTTGAAGGGAAGCCATGTTTTGATTGGCTCATTTATCATGTTGCTACGGAAACAGAACTGGAGCCATTTTCTCCTGAAATCATTTGACTTCATATTGGTGTCGCGTGCGGACGAATGGACTATTATGTTGTGTTATACCCAGTGAGGAAGCCATATACTCTCTATATCTCTTCCTGCGTTTTGTACAGTATGTGTAGATACAATTTCATGTCACAATTCTTATTCAAATAAAATTGGTTTTGTGATTGCACCTGGCACCTGTGACTTGTCGTCATACCCTGACTGAGAGCTGTTGGGCGTCGACCATCATCACATGTTCAACACTTCGCTAACGCTCATTGGTGCCCAAATGCTGTCGGGTGCTGACAACATCTTCACGTCACCATGGCAACCCTCATCGGTGCATCCAAACATCACTCACTGGTCATCGTGCAAAGGCTTAATAATCCATGTCAGAATTGAGAAATAAATGTATATAGATAACAAGATAAACCAAATGCCTTGGTCTTGAATAAGCAGCAGGAGCCCGATGGAAGACCTCCCAGTATATGCTACTCAAAAGAAGTTAAAGAACACCGATTCTTTCATATTACTATAGTTTATCTGTCATGGCTATGATCTATGAAAGAATTGGGTGTTAACTTCTTTTGAGTAGTGTATGTTACAAGCAGTGAACAGTGTTTACACTTTCATAACAGAATATTGCTTCCCAAGCATCAACACACTAGCTCTGGATTAGAGTCTGAGACTGCAGTATGTTGGCAATTAAGACCAGTTCGTATAAAATTTGTAATGAAATTAGAGCTGCAGATATTGGGAAATAAGTGATTATTTGTAACTTTACACCAGGAAAATTGTAAAGCACCACCCCTTCAGTTCCATGTATGCTGAACTTATATGCATCTTTTGGAAACCGGTCATGTTGATCAAATGTTTTCGCAACGTACTGGATAGGTTTGTACAAGGACTCGGTTGCTCATAATGTGTTAAGGATGGTGTGGTATCTGATGAAATGAAGTTGAGCAAGTTGATTTAAAGGGCAGTCCGACCAACAAGTACCATGGGGCAGTGACAAAACGTGAGATAATCAATTTCATGAATAAAACAAATGTGTTGTCAGAAAATTTATTCAGTGTAAAATTTCATTGTGGCTATATGATACATTAAAAGGTGGTGGTCAACATTTGTTCTAGGTGTATGTAAACGTGTCAAGACTAAGTCCTACTTGTCAATAATTTTACCATGTTTCGAACCAAGCGTCCATTGTTGGTCATTATACACAACTAAAATGTGAGTTTGGTGGCTACAATGAGAGATCTGGTTGGTGGCGTGTATTGACCACAAATTTGCCAGTCCCGGACTTGATTATTTACAGGTTGCCATGGGATGAAGCTGGAATAAGCTTATTTCGGCAAAAAGCACCACTCCCTGAACAGTTCAGTGAGGATACATCGTTGAGGTTGCGATTCAACAACATTTAGCACTTTCAGCAGGGGCGGTCGGGTAGCCTTGTGGTTAAAGCGTTCGCTCATCACGCCGAAGACCCGGGTTCGATTCCTGGCATGGGTACAATGTGTGAAGCCCATTTCTGATTGCCGCTGCCACCGTGATATTGCTAAAAGCGGCGTAAAACCATACTCACTCTCACTTACAGCAACATCATTAACACTGACATTACATCAGACGTGCAGATTTTGTGAAATGTTGCACTACACCAAACTTCATTGATCACGTTGGAGTATTTTTAAGTATTCATACTTGACAATCTACCGTACTGAATCGGATTAGTGAAGTTGTCACACCAGTTTAGTGAAATAAGATGGATTATGGATACTCCCGCTTCTGATTTGGAACCAGAGAAAAGATGCTTGACATCTAGTCTCTAAAATGAAAATATTTTTCTGAAATTAAAGTTAAAATGTCATTCGAAGGACCCAAATATTTCATTTTGAGAAACTGCAGTCTTGCCAAGTATTATAGACTTGTTATGGATTGTTTGAATATATTTGTTTCTGGGTTTGCATAAAGCACAAAGACAAAGGACCAGTATTGTTTTTAGGAATGAAATATTTACAAATTAGCCTCGGGAGTGTTCTTTGACTAATGCTGTTACATTTACAAATGGCTGGTTTAAGATATGAATGAATTAGGGCTGGGAAGAGTCCACATTTACACTACGTACCCGGGTACCCATCCCACTATTACCCGACCCCACCCGGGTACCCGCTGTAGGTCTCATGAGATAGGTACAAATGTCCATTTGGGAATAGTTTGACCGTAGCCATGGCAAAATGTATTTAGATCCCCAAATCGAACGATTTGGTCATGCATTCACTGAAGTTGACTTTTAGTTTTATCTATATTCAAACATATCACTCCGAAGACCCGGGTTCGATTCCCGACATGGGTACAATGTGTGAAGGCTATTTCTGGTGTCCCCCGTCTCTCTCCCCCCCCCCCCGTGATATTGCTGGAATATTGCTAAAAGAGGCGTAAAACCATACTCACTCACTCTATTCAAACATATAACGTCAAAAGGGATGCGTGCATATTCAGAAAGAAATGGGAACATTAGTCACTTATAGTGCAACCGTGGAAGTTCTAGATAATTTTGCTAGTAAACAATATACCACGTGACTAACCACGGTAGTACTGTGTGTACCGAACCACCCGACCCGAGTTACCCGTCCCAGCCCTGGAATGAGTGAGTGTAGTTATAACCTATATTTACACAATAGGATTGGACAAAAGTTCGCCATTTACAAGATCCTCCCCCATACTGGAATATCAAGACATTGATCATGATATTTACACGTTTGGCTTAACATAATCAATTGGTGCTTGTACTGGGGAGATTAATTTGGTATGTGAACGCTGAATATGACAATTCTTTTTATTTTTCTTAAGGCCCAAAGACCCATAGAACACATGCATTTAGTTGTATGATATAATGTACACATATGTCATAACTTTTTGTTCTACATTTCCATGGTTCTTGAACATACACAAATTGAGCAAGCATAAATATTCTTTTCGTATTTCATAAACAGACGGATCTTATGTCATGACAATTTATGATAGAGGAAACATGAAGGGCCTATGTAATTATCACCGATGCGTGACGGTTGCCAAACCTGTTTCTCACCGACACTGACAAAGGAGATAATACTCAAGTCTTCTGAAATAAAATCTTAATTTATTTAAAGGGAACGAGTAAGCCATCTTGACCACGTGTTCGAGGAGTACCCCATTGAGTGTGGACCCGAGACTTCAAGGTGGACTCGTTCAACTCGTCTGTGCACGAATTGTAACAAAGGAGGCCCTTATTGTTAAATTCGGCGCAAAACCACTCCCTGCATATTAATAAAGCTCGACAAGCAGGCAACGCATTGCAATATTTTATTAGTTGGTTTAGGAATATTTGGTGGTCGATTAAAAATAATTTCAACTTCCAGATTAATACTGTTACCAAGGGTTGAATAAACAAGTTTTAACTTGGCAAGATACCGAAAATATTAACCTTTTGTTACGTACAACTGAGATAGATTTCGTCACGCACGCACGCACAAACAAACAAGCAAACAAATTGGAGAAAAGTCGACGAAAAGTATAAATTTTCCGAATTGATATGTTTTCTAAATTCAATGGTGCTGTGTCTGTCGGTATCGTAAACCAACTTTTAAAAAAAAGGCCTAAGCGTTGATGTCTCGCACGGGTGAATAGTTGGGAGCGAACAGCAGGACCAATAATACGTTGACCGACAATTCCAGGCTGGTGAATTGCTTTCAGGCCACGCATCAGTATAATTATGTTCGTTTGATTCTCATTTCCAGGGCGGTCGGGTAGCCTAGTGGTTGAAGCGTTCGCTCGTCACGCCGAAGACCCGGGTTCGATTCCCGACATGGGTACAATGTGTGAAGCCCATTTCTGGTGTCCCCCGCCGTGATATTGCTGGAATATTGCTAAAAGCGGCGTAAAACCATACTCACTCACTCACTCTCATTTCCATTCATCCCACACAATACCGTTCTTCTAAAGAAATGTTTTGTGTGTCTTGTTAGTGTATCATTTCGTCCTCGAAAAGACAAAAACGTAATGAATTTTCGTTTCATAAAAACACCACCGCACTGTGTTTTATCGAAACGATGTGTGACCGCCTCCGTGGTCGGGTGGACAGCATCTGCCCGGAGAGTGGAAGGTCGGTGGTTCGATCCCCTGGCCTCATCATACCTAAACATGGTACTTGTTATTACCCTGACTGATCGCCTCGGAGTCGGTATGCAGTTTCCAGGTTGGGATATGCACGACGATTTATAAATCCAATAATCTTTAAACTTCCATTATCACCTTCTGTACCCGGCGCCCTGATGATGTTTGAGAAAGGGAAGTAACTCCATTGCTTCGTTTTTTTCACCTGCGCTCTCAGTACGACAAATGCTCAATAATGCATCATCTGTGCACATATCTTAAATAGACAGTCAACAGTACTGAATTGAACCCCAAAATAGTAAGGATGGTTTCAGGGTGAAATAATTGCCGAAAAAACACTCGTTAAACTGTATAGGCTGAAACGATTGCACGTTCGAATGATCCATTTATTGTTAAACGAAAAAGCTGCTTCTTTCGACTTTTGCACCAAGTAATACGAGTTGTAGTCTAATGTCGGCATTCGATTAATGTACACTAATCAAAAGAAGGTAAAGAACACCCGATTCTTTTCAGATAAAGACTATTGATTGAACTAGAGCATGAAACAAATCGGGTGTTCTTTAACTTCTTTTGAGTTGTATAAATCACGAACGTATACGCACGCACAGGTTTGAGATTTGTTTGCCGTTCACATAACCCCTTTCCGATAATCAATGATTAATAATACATTGTATTCATCCAGTAACCTGCATGAAGAAGTTGCCGAGACCTGTTCAGGGATAAAAATCGGAGTGTGCTAATCCGAATATAAGGTACACGCCTCGTCTAGGAAGTAAATATGTTCATTGAAGACTCTAAATAATGGCTCGGGACATCCGCCCGGTGACTAGGCCGACATAAACTGTAAACTCACTGTGAAAAAGAAGACTAGCTGTGGTTATAATGAACACATTCATTTACCGTATTCGACGTAATAAGCGCCCCGCTCTAATAAGCGCGATATTTGCTAAAATATTGGCTAGTGAACACCCCTTCCGATTGATCAATGTACACAAGACTTATTTATTCATGTATAATACACACTTGTGTGTTATATGCAGC